AGGGAAGGGGGCAGGGGTGGAGGAGGGGTTGTGGACAGGGAAGGGGGACAGGGTAGGGGTGGAGGAGGGATTGGGGATAGGGGTTGATGGGGATGAAAGAAGGGGTGGGGGTGGAAAATGGGCTCTATCTAGCCATTACAAGTAAAAGGAGTAAGTTACATATCATTGGTTTATTACAGTTTTTCATCCTATACAGACATTGCTTGGCTTATTCACCCCTGAAATTTCATAATCAACTATTCCAGCCTTCGAGTTGGAAGAGTTCAAATGTGTCTTCAGGGATGAATGAGTTAATGAACTTCATCTACATACAGATGAATGGTATATCCTAATCTGACTCTCATATGTTCAACAAAGCTGTGCAATGTATATCAAACACTTAGTAATGTAGACAGTCAGGGTTTCCTTTCAGTGATATCAATAATCCTCAAATTATGATATTGTTTTCTGTCTTTGCTTTTACAAAAGATGTAACCTTTTAATAAAGTGGACTGAATCCTTCTGTAATTGCAAACATGAAGTGATTGTCTAAGTAAGGCTGGATTCTTCCTTTTAACCATGATACTGTGTTTAAATCTGGCCAAATGTCTCATTTATGTCCGAGTATAGAGGAAGACTTCTTATACATAAATACAACACATCTTTGTCGGACATCACAGATACCTGAGTGTATGTGCTGATGAATACTGCCATGAATATGTATAGCTGAGTTTATGTACTGATGAATACTGCAATGAATGTGTATAGTTGAGTTTATGTGCTGATGAATACTGCCATGAATGTGTATAGCTGAGTTTATGTGCTGATGAATACTGCCATGAATGTGTATAGCTGAGTTTATGTGCTGATGAATACTGACATGAATGTGTATAGCCCACAAGTGGTAAAGTACATCTGCACAGTGCTACCTACAATGTTAGATAAATACATTGATTGTGGTATTGTTATTATTACATACCTAAAGTTGTTATTATACATCACTCATGATTGGCAAGAAATTGAAACAAACAACAACATGCAGACAAATGACATCAAGAATGGAATAGAGATATCACATTACCAAAATAGATTAAAACGACACCGAAACTTTCAGAATTCATTCTGGTTACAATATTTCAATTTGATCAGTGGATAATGAACAAGGAATTTAAACCAGAAAGGAGTCCTGTCTACAGGCCATGGGGCGATCCAACAATTTCTTGTACTGCGCTGCCTGACAGTTGGCTGTTATTACTATAATCAGATTCACCAGGTACAAATTACGCCCTTTTAATAGAGAAAGTGAATAATTCAATTTGATCTGATCATGACAATGATTTCCAACTTCCTCAAAAAGATCAGT